CTTTTTGTGAAAAGAGTATGATCAGATTGTCCTTGACTATATCCTTGACTTTTAACGAACCTTGTGAATCTTTCAAACCAGGCTCTGGGAGATTGTTTAAGTCCATATAGAGACTTTTTTAGCTTGCATACCTTAGTTCCAAACTTCTCAGTGAAACCAAGTGGAGGCTCCATATATACTTCTTCTTCAAAGGCTCCATTCAAAAAGGCATTCTTCACATCCAGTTGATTCAGTGGCTAGTCAAGGTTAGCTGCAACAGATAAGAGTACTCGAATTGTATTTAGTTTCGCTATTGGAGAAAAGGTCTCAGAGTAGTCCACTCCATACGTCTGAGTAAAGCCTTTAGCTACTAGRCRAGYCTTATATCTCTCCAAGGATCCATCTGAGTTGTACTTCAGAGTGAACACCCATTTACAACCAACAATTGTCTTTCCATCCGGCAGATCCACTTTCTCCCAAGTAGCATTCTTTTCCAAAGCTCTCATCTCCTCAAAAACAGCTTCTTTCCACTCAGGAACATTTAGAGCCTCCTGGATACTGTTAGGAATGGAAACACTGGACACTTGTGAAATAAAGACACAATATGAAGGTGAAATATTGTTGTAAGATACAAAATTTGACAGAKGATGTTTTGTACAAGACCTAACACCTTTCCTAAGAGCAATGGGAAGATCAAGCTGACTGGAAGAATTAGAATTACCTGGAGGAATATTTTCAGGTATTTTTGGAGAATTATCATGAATTTTATGATCCACCCTCAGATTAGATTCTTGTTGATGCTGCGGAATAGTGCCTCTCCTTTTCAATGCTAGATGTTCCCTTGAGTATACACGACCTTTATACTGTTTTGCACACATCTCTGTTGTTTCAACTTTATTTTGAGATGGCATCACCGAAGGTTGTTCATTTTCAATATTTAATTCATTTGTTTCCACTGATTTTGTATTTTCTGCCTTACTTTCTTTCGGTGATTGGTTGTGAGGAACATCATTATGGACAAGTTCAAACATTAAATCAGAACCAACTAAAAGACCATCTTCACTAGTGTTGCTCTCCCCCTGAAGATGGGAGTGTCTGTAGTAGGAGGTTCCTTCAAAGAATGTGACATCCATAGTCACAAACATCATTTTCAAAACTGGATCAAAGCACTTGTAACTTCTCTGATTAGTGGGATAGCCTACAAAAATTCATTTATGTGCTTTTGGATCAAGTTTTGAACGTTTAGGATCATGGTTATGAACAAAGGCCACACTTCCAAAAATTTTTAAGGGAATGTTTGTCACTAGCCGAGAGTTTGGAAAACAATCAGTGAAAACTTGTATGGGTGTTTTAAAATCCAAAATTCGTGTAGGCA